ATAGCCATGAAAGATCGTGCAACAATTTCTCCCTGGATGTTCCGTTCATCTGGACGAATTCAACTTTGATGTCTATTCATATCTGCTTTAGATGAATACACATAAGGGTCCGAACATATTGAGCAATATATGAGAAATTGTTTTTCTTTATGAGTTGTATAATCTGAACGTGCGTCAAGTTCATCATGCATTAGAAAATTTCTCTTCTCGCTATATTCTCTTATATTTAACGTCACTTCTTTCTATATCCGTCGTTTACTAAAAGATGTTGATTAAAACAATTTTGTAACATCAAATAATACCGATTAAATATAAAAAGCAATTAAGTCAAGTATATATGTTGTAGGCAAAACTCAAATTGGACTTTTGATTGGGCAAAACTTAAAGTTAATATTATAATTTGAGTTTTGCCTGAATATAATTATATTATTTATAAATTAAATTTTGACATCATCTAAGAATATTCCTGACTTCAGTCAGGTGATGGTCTTCTATTACGTGTTTCAAAGGGAGGAGATTCGTATAATAATCTCTTTCTTACCTGATCAACTTTTTGATTTTTTCTGCGTTTAAACGTCGTCTTCTCCCGTAGCCTTATGTGATGGAATAGGTTTATCGACTTAATTCAAACGAACCAACACTACTCCAAACACGGGGTTGTGGGGATTATTTCTGTATTTTTTTAAATTTTATTCCCCTGAATTTGTATTTTTATATTTACATATTTTTATATTTATATATTTTTATCTATACTATATTCTTCAATGTTTGTCATTCTGTCTGTCTCAGAATGCACGCCCAAACGGTAAGATCTAGAATGCCGGAATTTTGCACACTATTTCTTGGTCAAAATCTACGATAAGTCGCGAAAATGTCATTAAAATCAATCAACCATTCACCTTTTATATATTCGAGGAAGAGAGTGATCATTCTAAACTTAATTCGTATTCTACCAACCTGTAAAGTATTTTCAGAAAAATCGAACTAACGATTTTCGATCTGAAATTTTGTCCGGCACTTGGGAAGGTGACCTTGTAAATAGTTATATTTCTGCTGAACGATGTTTCGAACAATAAACTCGAACTTCGAACTGTAAAAAAGTATGTATTTTTGATCGATTGATAAAGAAATAATCTGTTGAAACCGAGCGACTATGTGTCTTTGAAGAAGCGAGGCGAGGATGAGGAGACACCTTGCCATAGTATATCAATGTTCCGAATTATACGTCTCTTAAAGTTTTATTTATTCAAACTGGGCGTAAAAGTGATCTTATAACAGACTAATATATTTCGGAAAAGTTTTGTCTGAATTTTGCATGATAACATAATCCAGTTATACTTATCTTATACCTCGCTTATTTTCTTCGAAATTAACAAATTACACATAGTGTACATATTCCGTATATAATATTTTGTAATTTGTATATTTTACATCTGTATACATTTTTATCTATTTGACTATAAATAATTCTCACAGGAAAATAGGCATGTTGTTTTATTCTCTTCGATCATACAATTCTTAATTCTGATTCTTTTTTCGTATATGATCACACAAAACGTTTTTTCTTTAACGAAAAAGTAAGGAAGAGACTAAACTATTGAATGTGTCCTAGCTCTAAGTTAATTCTATATTCTCCTCACTTCGCTAATTAAAACTGGAATAATTAGAGAAGACCTCTTTTCACTTCTCACGCTAATTTGAAGTACACAAATTATAATATATTTGCCATATTCGTCAGAAAAAGGGTCCTTTAGTTTCTAAGAGATAGAGCTGTCAATAACAAAGATAAAAGTTACTAAAATGGATCCGTTTCAATTTAATTATAATGATTTTACTGGAAAAAAATGTAGAACTTGGACTTCTCTGATGTTCCGGAAAGTTATGTTTGCCATTCCAAATTCATGCAATTTCTAAAATTAAAGTAAAATCCACATTTTACAAGCTTTAGTCTGTGATATTGAGATGTCTGTATCTTGAAAACTAACCGAGACCTTTTCTAAGAAGTAGCATGGTATAGAGTACCAGTTGTGTGCTACAAACTGGCAGAAAAACTGGAGAAAGGTACTTTTAAATTTGTTAGCTTTTTAATGTGGGAAGTTGCTAGAATAAACACTAATTTCATAGCGAAGGAAATTTTTCTTTTGATAGAACGATAAAATTTGTTATTTTATCCATTTCTTCCTTTTTATCGCTCTCCGTAGTGTGCATAGAAAGAAGAAAAATATCAAGTCAAGTATAGTACAGAAAAGAATATATACATACATGTTCATTCTGTCATACGATAGTTCTATATTCTTTTTCTCAGGCACATTGAATAATACTATTCTTAATTTTGTTTCCAATCAAATTACCGGTGAATAAATTCACCGATGCGAATTTTGATGACTTTCCTTACTTAAAATTAGAGATGAGAAAAAAGATGCTCTCCCATTAGAATCATAGGTCAACTTGATCTTACAGAAATACGTCGATGTTACACTCTCACATGTTAAGAAATAAAGCGATAAATGTTATTTTTTATTTTATAGCACCTCCCTGTTTATTGTGAATTTTCAAAGAACAGTTGAGTAAAAGACAGTGTAACGTTAATAAAGAATGCTAAACGAGACTGAAGCAGACGCATGAGCTCCGTTTACACGATGAACTCGGCTTGTTTACAGAAACATGGATCAAAAATTCTTTGTTTTCAGTTGTAGTTGAAAAGTTTTTGGATACGCTCTCTTTTAATCTGTGAAAGGAATGTTGTTCTGGTCCCGTTTGTTAAAAGTTTTCTCTCGGTGTCTCAGAGTATTCAAAGCAATGAGTCAACATTGTGTGTCCATCTGTACAGAAGTTCCTGTTTGAGAAATGGTGAAGAAAATGCAAATTGTTGTTGTGCAGTTATAGTGGAAGATCATGATGAACTGTGAGTATTTTATTTTATGAAAACGAGCACTCATCTTAATTCTGTTTTATTTTTCTCTAAGGAGCAAAGAAAAAATAATTTTAGAAGAGAAAGTGTACCAATCAAACAGGGAAACGGCATGCAGTTTTTAGTAGCTTTTCTTAATTCTTTTTTCTAAGAACGTGCTGCCTTTTGGACTGTCGTTATGGCTCTGCCTATCGGCATTGAGAAGATGATCAATATTTATACAACACCATATGCCAATGGCATAATGCCATTACTGGTAAGAAAGTCACCTTTTCTTTTCAAGCCTAAGATTTTCCATCATCTTTTTTTATAAAACAAAAGAAGAAAGAAGAAAAGATGCGGAAACATCGTTCATATGGATAGTGCTCGGTGTATAGAAAATAACCAATAATTGTTATTTCTCTTTTTTTGTTGTTGTGACCATGTTGATATTCGTTGATGGTGCTGAATCATGTTGAGACTGTTTAGTGATTTTGATCGCATTATCAAATATTTTTTTCCATTGCACAAATTTTTTTCCCAACCTTGTTGTATGAAATTGATATAAGTAATAAAATATGAGACCAGCAATAAATATCATTGTCAATTAGTATCAAAGTCTTTTTACATGCCAGGGTAAATGATAAATTGATAATAGGTATAGAGGGCGCAAGAGATGGCACCGCAAGTCGGTCATTCTCATTACGTTTAGAATTAAGTTTTTACCCATACAGACTATCTTTTAATATGACTTTATACTTCAGAACACGGGCTATCTTTTCTGCCCATTTACAGATTTTAAAATCACTGCGCCGAAATAGAATTCTTGGTTTAAACGTGAGGCTCAATAACCCGATTTTCTCTCTGTGTGAAAAAGTTTATAACTCAAGCTTTATATTAAAACGTAGGCCACACTCTGATGTATTTGGACAGCAGATTTTGGTTTCTGGCTTATTTTTTTCCCTAAAATATTTTTCGAAAACCGGTTTTTCAGAAAACTCAAAGCCGTGAAGTTCCTCTTGGAACATTTTTGCGCCCTCTCCAAGTTGTAGCCTGTAAGCTGCTGACAAAAATGAGACGTCTTTCAGCTTTGTACGTGTTTTAATGAACGAGACGCAAATTTCACAAAATTCTCATAAGAACCTATATTCCCTGTATATTCCACAACCTGCCTCTTTCTCTGAAAATGAATTCTACCTTGAACTTCTTCACGGAGTACAAACAGGTTTTATGATAGTCTGTTTTGTAGCCCGTGAAATTCTCTATCATATGAAGTATCGCTTGAATTTATTCATTGAGTCATTATTTTAGAAATAAGACTTCGAGACACTAGTGTAGCATAAATTAGAGCTAATTAGTCAATAACAGGAGGCAAAGAACAATATAGGTTCTTATGGGAATTTTGTGAAATTCGCATCTCGTTCATTAAAACACGTACAAAGCTGAAAGACGTCTCATTTTTGTAAGAATTTTACAGGCTACAACCTGGAGAGGGCGCAAAAATGTTCCAAGGGGGCCTTCACGGTTTTAAGTTTTTTGAAAGAAAAAAACTTTTTTTTGAAAAAAAAGAAAGACAGAAAAAATGAGCACTGCATGTACTCTTGGTATAACTATTAGTCAAAAGCTCAGTGAAGCTCACACACAGTTCAGGATTATCTTGAGATTTGTCTGTAAAAATAAGTCTTTCTGGGATTGAATAGTCATGTCTAATGAATGATAACTGTTTTCAGTAAATAGACAAAATGATACAATGGGTTCGCCTCTTTCTTTTGTTCTCTTCATTTATTTAAACTTGTTTTCATTCTTTTCTTAAATAAATAAAGCTTGCTAATTTATAACTACTATTATCCATGTGATCAATCAAAAAATAAAGGGCGTAGTATCATGCTTTTTCTTCTTCTTCACCATACATGCACCTATTTACATCATCGTTATTCACAATAGTGATGCTTATCTCATACACACACAACACAAAAATATCATGCAGACACGCCTCAGCAGCCATCTCTTCTAGAAAGAAGAGAATATAAATAGTATCCTCAGTACTACGATCAGTATTACTTTATTTTCATTCGTATTTAGTGATAATAAATAAGCACAGAATTAAAAAATGAATAATTTATTTAATGATGCCGCCGCTAGTTTTGTTGATAATGGTGTTGATCGTATAGCTAATGATTTAATACCGGGCAATGGACAAGGTTAGTAGTAAAATTGTCTATACAACTTCTTCGTGTCTCTCTCTCTATGATTGTGATTGACTGTAATTCTTCTAGGATTCATAAGTGGTGGATTACAGACTGGTGCTGATCAATATTTAAACAATCAAATTGATAATCGTTTCTTTGATGGTGCACTCGATGGTAATCAAGGTGGCTATGGTGGTGGTCAGGGTGGCTATGGAGGATCAGGAGGTTTCTTTTAAGCACAGAATGGTGTGAGGAAACACAGCTACATGAATGTTATAAGTTAAACTCTGTTTCCATACTTTTTGTAATTTTATACTTTTACACATGCATACACAACTTTTGCACTCATTTTGTAAATAAAAGTCACAGTTATATCATTCATTAGACAATCCCAGAAAGAGTTTTCTTTTTGAAGACAAGTCTCAAAATAATGTTGAGCTATGTGGGAGCTTCACGGAGCTTTTGACTAATGGTTATACCAAGAGTACATGTGGTGCTCAGTTTTTCTATTCTTAGTTTTCCAAGCATCACTTTTTTTCCATTGAAAACATAAGTTGACTCCTTTTTTGGCACTGATTTGAAAAACACACTTTTAATGCTTCAGATTCAAAGGTATTGGATTTTTCTTGAAAACTAGGCAATTTTTTGTAATTCCTGAAGTTTTTGACATTTTTTTGACTACTAGGCGAAAATCGGATATTCTCAATCACTCGGTTTGTGAGATAAAGTTGGGTCTTAAAATTATGTTTTAACGAATGAAAACCATTTATTATAAACATAATTTAAATTTAAACTATAATAATTAGAATCACGTGGCTGTAAGGCAAGTGTCAAATTTGCTCTTGTTTTGAAAAATGATTACTTTCGAATGATGGTTCTAAAATAGAGTTTATACTTTGTAGTACCGTTCGTTCGACCTATAATTCAGAAGAAAGCGATCTGTTTTAAGATTAATATAAATCGTTTTTTAATTTAATTGATATTTTCTCTAATAAATGCTGTCATTGTTTACTGATAAAGAAACTACGCGATGAGGAAATAAAATCATTTCTGTGAAATGTAACATAACCATCGATATGTAAATAATATAAATTGAAGAGAAATGAGAACTGAGCTTACTGTAAAAGTTTCACCTTCCAATTCAATCATTTTCTGGGTCGTTTTGGAATACGAAGTCAAAAAAGGCAGTATGATCGGGTTATTTTTCCGCAAACAAGTTTTTTGCCTATTGTTATTCGAAATAATTAGATAAATGAATTCTATGATTAAAATTCAGAATTTTGTTTTGCACGTAGCGGTTTGTACTGTCCGTGTAGTCAATCCTAAAAGTACTCTGGCCTCGCTAAAGTCTAACACAAACGAGCTCCAGCAAAGTTTTTTGTACTACTTTATTCCGCACTCCGACGGGCGCATTTTCTGCAGAATAACTTTTTTAATAACGTTGATATTGCTATTAATAGCCAATATACAGTTTTTGATCCTTTTAATCCCAGTGAGCAGCTGTTTGTATTGTTTTATTTTACAAGACGACTTTTTCTCAGATGGAGGAAGCATATCGAAATCAACAGCGGATATTACTGTTCTACTGGACACCACAAAAGCGTCTCTGTGGGATTTCATTTTTCCAGTGCAGTTGAATCGGTCACAGCTGTCTTATAAGTAGGCGAAAAAATGAAATTTCACGAAGACGCTTTTGTAATGCCTTGTTCGGGTCGAAAATTGATGATGATCAAATGGTGGCGTGTTTTTAAAGAAGAGCACGATAAAAGAACCAAACAAATGGGAAAAAGCGAGCGATTAGAGTATAAAAGCTTTGAAGTTGGATCCATAGGGTGGAAACATAGTAACAGCACAACTTCATAGTTGAGGAAAAAAATTGAAATTGCTCCAATGGCCGAATTTTTAAATTCAAGTATTTATGATTTTTATGCTGTTTTAGGTATTTATGGTGTATGCAGTTGCGTCTGTCCCTTTCCTGCTGAAGATGTAATTATCACACATCATTCGAATCATCATCCGACAGTGAACAAAAGTATGCATGGATTTAACCCTTTTCGCGGGGGGGGGGGGGGGGGGGGGGGGGGGGGGGGGGGGGGGGGGGGGGGGGGGGGGGGGGGGGGGGGGGGGGGGGGG